GGTCACAATTGGCGGTACATTTCCTTCAAAACGGTCCCGCACCCTTTGCCTTGAGGTCGCTCTGAGTGGTCTCTCGTCTGGGGAAAAGCCTTGGGTTGGGAAGATCGACTCTGCCACTAATAGTGCTTGGTTTGATCCCATCAACTCAGGGTAGGCCCGGGGATGCCCGCCACAGTATGCATGTTACTGGCCCTAAACAGTGCTGATTTTACATAGTTTTCAATGTTGCTTGAATTAGTGGACTGTACCCTGAGAGTCTGCGAGCACTTCAGGTACTGATGCCGCAATCTAAGCAGTTAATTACTGTATCCGCAGTAGTTGAGTTGTTGTTTACTGTTCTTAGTTTTGGTCAGAAAGGACCGTCAGTAGAACAATACTGTGTGGATAGATTTGTGGGCAGAGTTGTCAAGGGTTACCATCTAGGAAAGCAATGAAAGACTGGACAGCCAGAATGTCAGCAGATGCCCTGAGTTACCCGTCAATTTGGGTTAGTTAATTAGCACCAGCAATTCGCTGATATCTTGGGTGCAGTCACCCTGAGTGAGGAGTGTGGATTGCAGATACAGGTAATAGGTTGCGGAGTGTGGATTATTGACGGCACTTTGCAGAGTGCGGATCATCTAAGTGTTCTTGTGTAATTGTATTTTGTGTTATTCTTTTGTAACTCTTGTATAAAATAAGTCAATTCCAATTGTGTAAATGTAGTGATTATATAAGCTAAGGAAAAGTATACGAAATCTTGCTGGAAATACCTTATGTAGGCACATGCTCATTGTTGTGTCAGTCGACTGGGTCACTAAATTAATTACCAGTCGGTGGTATATTTCTGCCAAAGCAACCACGGACCCCTGGCCTTTAGATTACTCATCAAACTCAAGGGCCAATGCAGATAGTTTAGGTTTAGGTCAGGTGACTTTCCCCACAGTTAGAAACAGTTCATCCGGACTGCATTTGATTATGTCTGTCTTCAGCAACAGTCATGACAATTGAATTTAAGTGCATACTGTGTGTTTCAAGCACTTTAACTTGTGGAAAAAATTGACCAGGAGGTACTTCAAGGATTGTTCACCCAAATAGCAGCCCAATAACTGTTGTCACAGTCATGGTTGATCATTGGGTCATTCTCACATTTGTCAATGGTGTACATGAAGCAGTTCCAGGAACCGCTCACAATTTCCAAATTGACTAAAAAAATTTCTCTCCGAGATGGAACATAGTTCTCAATTTGAAATATACAGTGTCACAACAGTCTAACAACCAAAAAGTACAAAGAATATGGGGGAAAACTTTCATTAAAAGTGGATGATGAAGGATTTAAAAACTACAGACACACAGAGTGAATATAATCATGGCAGCCCCCCCTCATAGAGCGCCCTCTCAAGTCAGTTGACTCAGGCTATTGATGAGATTTCCAAATGCTTAATATAACTGTCAATACATTTCTTCAAAGTCGCACATAAAATAACTTGAACAAGACTGTATGGTCTGAATTTAAAGAAACGGAAATACAGTTCCAAGAAAATAATTGAAAGAACTGGGTAAAGACAAAAGTAGAAAAGTGCAAGGGGTTGATCAACATAGTGACAATGTGCATGCATGTTGTGTTTAGTTACTCTGCCTTACAAAACAAAACAAAACCCATTAGTTTGCACCCCACATATCATGTGGTTATTAAGTGTTTAATTAATTATGTAAGGCCAACTCTCTGTCTGGTTTCTGGAGTAAAATACATTTATGAAATGGAAAAGTCGACACCAGACATATAAATATGTTTGGTTCTCCTTTCAGTATATTAGGGCTTCCTTCTTAGTCTTTCATGATGCCATCTCATAAGCTTGCATTATCCTGGTGTTTTAATCTTCTATCCTGTCATCTACATTAGCATCCTCCCTGCTGATTGTCGGCACCAAGTAGGTAGTTGATTAGCAGCCTTAGTTCAAGCCCGAAGAACAAATAGTAAGGTTGAAGAGTTGGGAGTGGTATTGTAGCCTTCTAGTCATCCAGTCTTGCCATGGAATTATTACCAAATCCAGAGAGCAGGATAGGTGGTCAGGATAGGTGGATAGGTGGTCAGGATAGGTGGCAGTGTATGTGTCCCTGTCACCAAAGACTTTAAATAGGATTTTTTTCTTCTTGGAGTTACCTCACTGTCAGCTGGCCCCGCACATCACTCACCCACTCTTGCACTGAAGGGTTGCTAACCTTCTCAGGTTTGCCTCTGAAGCACTCAAGTTGCTTCCCGGCCACAACAAAATTCTGCTTGGGGTGAATGTTGGTTGCATGGAGGACCTGCCCCCGGTGTCTGTTTGTTGTTCCTCCTCCTTCTGCAAGGCCAGCTTCATTGCTTGCAGGTCAGCTCTGAGTTGCGTCACTGTGTCGCTTTCCATCTTTGACCTTACAAGCAGTTCACCAGTTAGATGTCAGGCAGCTCATGTTTGAGTGGGGGTTACAAGGTGAGCACCGTTTTGTCTACGACGCCATTTGTGACTCAGGGAAAAGTCGATACCAGACATACATGTTTGGTTCTCCTTTTCGGATCTTTAATGGTGCAAAAGAAACCCCTAGTCATTGTGCATTGCAAAAGAACAACTACTAAAGGTATACAGTGCTTGTTGGCTTTGCTGAGGTTTAGAGGTAAATAGCTCATCACCGGCTTAAGGCTATCTACTTAATATACAGTTTGAGCCAAACTGGCAAGTGAGGGCACTGAACATAGGAAATGTTATGTAAATTGACTGTCACACACACACGCAAGTGTGCAAACGCCGTCAATCGTGGACTCCCTATTGTTCCTCTTTTGTTCATACTTAAACTTTTTCAGAAGACCTCCCATATGTTTTGTACACGTTTTCCAACCGTGGACTCTTCGGCAACCGTGGACCCTATTGTCCCCTATTGTTATAGGTCCACAATTGAAGGCGTTTACACACTCACAAATAAAAATGGCATCAAGTATGGTTCAAAATATTCGGGGCTTAGAAAAGACATGTGAGGTTATTAGTTGTTTGCAACCCCTATATTAAAGAAGCTAAAAATAAGAACATCAGCAAGATAGCAGTCAACCCAGTAAAGTCTTGTAGCTTTGGGCCATCATTGCTAGTTAAAAACAAAATGCATAAATACCTCATCAGACAGTCTCCCTATTGCACAACATGCAACTTGACCATGTATTAACATTTGATAATGCCTGTTGAGATGTGATAATGCTTACTGCTGAAATCACGCCCTGGCACCTGAGTACGAGACAGTTTAATCGATTCTGATTGGTAGGGAGTCTGTGTGCACGCAGCTCACGATGCATGTGCCATGTCCATATAAGGAGATTCTTTTAGACAACTTGCACAAGGAATATACCATAAAATGGATGGGGATGTTCGGGAAAATGAAAGTAAAATTCTAGAACAAAATGGTAAGAAATCCATCATATATCGACCTCTTCTGACTCGCTGCCTTAAAGAACATACTTATGAATCGGAATACATGTGTTCTTGGCCGGTCTTAAACTGTTTAAGACCAGCTCAGCAGAATGGATGCATTTAATACCTGAGCAGCACCGGCCAAGGACATATTTATTCCCATAGTAATAACTTAAATTTGTGGCAGTATTGTATGCATTGACTAAAAGCACCATTTTTGAAAACTATTGTAACTGTAACCGTTGTCATGCAGGTATTTATAATCCAACACAGATACTGCGACTGTCTATAATCTAAAAGTACAAACGTTGTTTCAATATTCTGGTATTTAAAATTCTGGTGAATTAATTTCTGTGTGGTACTTTGGCAACAGATGAAAGTGAGACTGAAGAAGTGATCAATATAGTTGAAGGCAGAGACTTTGGAGTCATGTCCATGGAGAGTACACTTGAAAAATCCAGTAAGTCTTTAAAAAAATCTTGTTATGTCATCAACAGTCTCTATTGTGGAAATTTTGGAATGTGCAGAAAGGACACCCTGAAACGAGTATAAATGTTTCCCAAAAAGAAGTGTGTGATGAGGAAATGAACCTGCAAACACAAAATGTGAGCATTCTATTTTCATTGGCCTCTTCCGCCATGAGAAGTTGAGTAACACCAAGGAAAATATATCTAATGCCAAGAAAAACCCGAGGTATGAGGCAAGATCAGGATTAGACTTTTTTTTCTCCTCTAACATAATCTGCCGTAGTAAGTCATAGTATTATGCTCTCTCTTAAGGTAATGGTGATACATGTATCTTTTGTGTGTATTTTTTTTACCTTACCAGGTTAGGGAAACATCAATTGATATGGTTCATCACAAACAGCACCAGCCAAAGAATATTCCAGTGATGTAGAACCAAGAATTGTTCAGCAGCATTTCATCCCTCATCATACCTCATTAAATTCGTGGAGTAGTTACTACATGTGAACTTACTGGAATAAGAATTGACATTTCTCTTCCCCTGTGGGTTTGGCATACAAGGTTTGGTAAGGTCAGAGAATTGCATCACACACCAGTACCTTTGCTGATGGTAAGGATAAGAAAGCTTTGTAAAGACCGACAAGCAGCTCTGATTCTGCAATATCATTTTAGCTCATAACCTTTTTTGAGAGATGGATAAATATAAATTGGCTTTGCTAACTGGATATCAGAAGAGTTTGATGCACAATAGGTACATCAAAACTCTAGATCAATATAACAAAGACTCAATCAGTCAGGTTGGTGGTAAATCCGTTGCTTGTTCCCCTTATTGTAAATTTGAAAACCTTTCCCTTTCACTTTTCCCTTTATTTTAAATTGTAAACATTGGCAGTTGTAGTCTAGTTAGTTCAGATTTTACATTTGTAAAGACGTTAATGGAGCATTTTTCCCTGTGCACTGGCATGTAAAGCACTTGATATATGTTCCTTATGTTCCTTTCTTGTTAGCGCAGGCATCATCACTAACCTTTGTTGTTGTTGTTTTGTTTTAATGGCGCTTTCAGCAACTCAGTCTATTTGTGCCAATAACTGTACGTTTATTCATACACTTTATTGATCAGCATCATATTACGGAGTTAGGAAGACAGTCCAGTTTTAGAGGCAGAAGGAAACCGGAGTGCCCGGAGAAAACCTGTGAGAGCGAGTATGGACTGGAAACCAAATGCACTTAAAGCCTGGACCAAGCCGGGACTCGAGCCCGGGCCTCATTGGTGCAAATCACTAACCTTTATTGTGGCCAGTAGTTTTTATGAGCATGCATTGCAAAATTGAGTTTAATTCAACAGTTTTAATGTTGAACTGTAGCCTTGATTTTGTCAAGATTATCGAGTAATCTCTTCTGCTGGGAGTTAAAAGCCATTTCTCATACTGTTAGTGGCATGAAATTGAGAATTTTCATAAACGTATCTCATGCTACTCAATAGGCCAACTCTGTAGAAACTCAATGCAATATTCGTGAAGAGTGGCAGACTAATACACATGCACTTCCAGCTGTGCAAGGAGTTGGAATGTTTAAATCTTTTTTTTGTCTGGGTTGATTTAAACATAGGTAAAGATTAAATCATGATGCTCTGTGTACTTGTTCACCTCTAACTACCAAGGGGGAAATATATCTTTCTGTTAGACAGTAGAATGCCAAGGCCTTTTTTTGTTATGTGATATGACTAAAATTCACAAGAGTGAAGGCTAGACCAGCACTTGGGGTTGAACTTACGAGTATATGATGAACTCACTCTTTCTACCAAGCACAATGTATGTTTTGTAATTAAATCAAGGCAATTTATTCAGTTTGTTTGGCTTTTTTAAATAAAAGGTTTTTCAGTCTGGCATAAGCTCAATTAATATACATACATTTTTAAAATATAAATGCTGTTAAGTTACTACTTCTTGAAACATAAGACACAGTAATGAATATAAAGAATGCAAGTTTGCATCCACTTATTAAGCAGTGTTGCATCCACTTGTTTCTGGATACTCATATAGGCCAAATCTAAGTTCCAAGATACAACTTTTCCATATTACACATCTTTTTTGTGGCAACTGATGGCCTGGGGACAAGATTCACATCAAGGGGATATCAAAATTGTTTGTTTTTGTTTTTCTGTTTCCCACCCCACACAAATTAATCAAGATAACTGTACACTATAGATCTCTCTCATTGGAGGCCACCTTTGTAGGAAAATTGCAACTGCGTATGCAATGCAACAGGTGCGTGTGCGCAGAGCCAATGCACGTCATGAAAACTGAAGTAAAAAATGCTGATGCATGTGGCAATCTGTAGGGAAGAATGTCATTTGAGAGAGACCAATAGCCTCTGCAATTGGTACCTTGTTCATCAGCAGGCAAACTTTACAATTTACAAATAAATGATTGCGTACATAGTTCTGTAATAAAGAAGTTTGACTAGCTGTGCCTCAATTTGAAAACCACATATCAAGAAAACCGAACAGACAAAAATGGAAATTGGCACCATATTTACTTAAATAGCTCATCCATTATAAAGAATGAGAAAATGGAAATGGAACACATCTAACTGTAAATTTCACTCATGCTTGTCTGAGGAGAGGACTGTCAACATAAGGCAATTTGTAATTAAAAGTTATTACTTCAATCAGCAGTGTTTTGTACAGTAAAGAGATTTATAAATGTTACAGAGAGAAGTTAAAAGATTATTCCTTTTTAAACAAAAACTGTACCACTAAATATGAACGTGAGGGTAATAAAGTTATTGGTCGAAATAAAATGTATTGAACTTAAGGTCATCCTCAATATGACAAATGTGAGAGGATAAGATATTTAGGAAAATTATATGCATCTCTCCCAAAGTTATCCCCAAAGAGCCAGGTTATTTTGGACCATTTTCAGTGGTGGGGTTAAAGATTCCATAAACCCTACCCAAGAACTTGGCTGTCATGTGTCTGCTCATTTTGAAACTAACCATGCAAGTGAAGACACTCATTATCAGTAAAGATATGAAGTTTCAAATTCAGTATGACAGGGTTTCATGTGGTCAAAATCCACATTGCATGAGAAGGGCAAGTCTGATTTTCACAAAATTGGTTTTAACTACTTCCTCCCAGGTGGAATTTGCATGTGCGGGATGAGTTCCTGGGGATTTTCAAGATTTTCTGTTTTCAAACTTCAAGACAAACCTAAATCAATCATTCTTGAGACGTCTTCCTCAAATATGGTAGGAAAACTGCTCCCATCGGTTAAGCACGGTTCTTTCTATCATTACGCTTCCGGAGGATAACCAGCCTGCATAGCATGTTTGAAGTCAATATGGCAAATTTACCCATTATGTTTGATTACCGATAGCTTACGTGCATGTAAGCATGTACACATGCACATGAGAAGCCAAATTGCTGTTTCCTCACAAGTAAATGTACTACTGCTGAGTTTTTCTTTTAGGGACATAAAATGTACGTATAAATTTATGGCTTGGGGAGCATAATGAATACAGAATGTGGATGAGTTAAACTGCTTCAAGTTTTCCATCACTGCCACTGTGACAAGTCAAATAACAAACCGATTGTTAACTCATGTATTACAGAGTGCAGAGCAACTTGTCTCCTATAACTACTAAACGGGAATGATTCCCCCCCCAAAAAAAATAGAATGAAGTGAGCTCCCACAGAAATATGAAAACCAAATTCCACTATGACTTTTTCACGACTTTCCAGTTTCCATATTTAATGCCTTTTTGTAGAAAAAAAATAGTGTGGTATTGTGTGCACTGGGAAAACTGCCTATTACTACTAATAATGTAGTAACCAACAGATAATGTATGTAAATGACCAACACTATAGTAGAACTGATAATGGATCACAACTTGCGTGATAGTGTAATAGAATTTCTAACCGATAATGTATTACCAACCAAATAACCTATCACCTGTTGATGGATAATGTATCAATAGGCAATGTATCATCTAATTGACTGAAAATGGATTTGTATTGGGAAAGGCACATAAAAAAATAATTGTTATTAGAAAAAGCATTGTTTGGGTCTTTTTGAGCATGTTCGCATTAGCTCAAGTATCTAAAAGCCTCCCAGTGGGAGGGGATGCGTACCAGGTATTGAACTTGTCTAAGTGTTAGGTCAGGCTCTGAAAGTTGGAATAACATTATGTTTTAGCTGTTCAGATTAACACGGTCATTGCCACTACAATACATGGACAGTGTGTACATTTAAAATAATCCATTATCACATCAAAAGGTGGCCATCAAAAATAACCCTTGGGTGACTTTTCATGGACTCAGTTTCCTCAGACAGGACACGGGACACCAAATTTTTTCCCAATTTTCCCATGACCTTTCAATGACTTTCCAGGACTTTTTATTCATGATTCTCCATGACTACAGGAACACTGATGCAGCCATTTAGGATGAGGTAATGCTGGGCTAAGTAGGGTTGGGATGGAATTGAACAGGAAAAATGAGGTATAAAGATAAAGTGTTTCAGAGTATCAACTTAGACCTTAGGTAGGTGATGAAACAACCTCAAACCAGTGTTGAGGAATGATACTGAAAAAAGACACGTCCAACCAAATTAAAAGGAGAAACTCGGGTCCAAAGCCTGTTTTTCAGAGAGTTTCTGGCATTGATGTGAATTAAACTGCCCTTTAGGGCAAGTTAATGTGACGGATATATTCCTCAACCTTAATTTTCCAGTCCGTTGTTTTAAGAGAAAGCCTGCAGAGATAATACCACATGATATAAGCAAAACTAAAAACAATCAAAAACTAGACAACTAGAAATCAAAATTTTAAAATGCCACGCCCCTACCGTCAATCATTTTTGATTGATGATATTGAACATTATTTTTTCTGATACTTGGTCTGCTGACTGTGTGTGGGTGTGCGTGTTTATTTTGTTTAAAATCTTTTTGAACTGACATTTTTGTCAGCTCTAAAAAAGTCAGCACCATCTTGAAATGCTATAAACACAATATAACTGGTTGACAATTGAACAAGCCCACCATGTCAGAACTGTTGATGTAGGCTGAGCACAGATGTCCAGGCAGACCACTCCATGTGTTCAGCCTCATTGACCAATCTATATAAATTGGATGTGTACAGTGCCGCAGAGCAAGCAGTAATTCTTGTTCAACAAGAATAAATTTTACATGTTTACTGCGGATGGTGGCTATTTTTGGTATTCATAATAGCAATTCAACACTGCAGTGTCCACTTGGATAGAATTACAGCAAAATAATGTACAGGACAAGTCAGAAGTATGAGAAGACATATGAAGAATCCTACTTGGCTGGTAGACAAGCATCCTACTTAGCTGGCTATCATGCAGACAGACCTCTTCCAAGGAACAACTCCACCCCAGGACAAAATACCAAACTGGAAAATTTATCTGAATTTCCTTTAACAGGTATAAAATTGGTCGTCACTATTTTAAAAAAAATCAAACAGGTGTGAGAAGTGATCTTTAATACCACCGGTTTACACCAGAATAATGAACCTGTGAAGCTGTAAAAATGGCTCATATTGTCTGTTCTAAGCATTTAATCAACTGTTCAATACTCCTTGCCAACACATCTACAAAATGTTGTTGTTTTGGAGATGACGACAATGATGATGACCTTCTGACTGGTCCTATGAACTCTGAAAGATTCCTTACAGTACTGCTGCAGGTGTCATCACTGAAGACTTCACAGCTTGGGGCTTTAACTTCAAGAAGCATCAAGGAGTGTGACGTCTCAGTATTTGCACCAGAAGGCCCTGTTAAGTCCTCACCACATTTATCTTCATTATCAGATGACTGCAATGTGTTCTCTGCTGTTGTATCACTTGCCGTGTCTTCAGGCATAGATGGATGATAATCAGCTTCTGTTCTGATTTCTTGTTTGTTTCCACATATGTCTGGTGATGGTGCTTTGGGTTCTACATTCCCATGGTCTTTCTTTGAGACAGGAGCAGGAGGTGGCGGTGGTGGAGGTGGTGATGAAGAGCTCTCCGTGTTTTCTCTGACATCTTGGCTTATTTTTCTCTTCTTTTTGGGGACAGCTTCAGAATCTGTGAAGCAGGAGAAAAGGTTTCACTTTTACTGTGAGTTATCTGATTTATAATTTTGAAGGAAAAGTTATTAACTAATTTCAACTTAAGCACCTCTTCAGGCATTTGTTTTGGTTCATCCATGTCTTCTACGTTTGATGTCATGTCTGCCAACTTTGCTCTCCTTACAGTAATTAACATTCTTCAATGAATAAATAACAAGTTCCTTTTTCTTTCAAAATCTTTACTGTTCCCTTCCTGTCCTTAGAATGCATTTTATCAACGTGGCCAAGTGTTGCTTCTGAGCTTTCATGTTTAACAGAGATGCCACAGGGTTTGCTGGAAAAAAAAAATACCCAAACAGATTTTTTTACATGTGACAAACAGCTTCGAAGTAGAAGATCAAGCTTAGTGAGCAGAGTGCACAGCGAATGGGTTCTCTTCTCTTGCAGCCATGTCCAGTTCCACTTACTTTTCTCCGTTGCTTCAGAGGCTTTTTAAAGTTGTCCATTCTTTTGAATATTTTAAATTTTTCCATATTTTGACCGTACACGATTACATTGTAGACATTGATCGACAGCTCATCCTGTGAAAACACACGTGCACAACCATGATGCAACACATGAACTGTGTACATAATCATAACCAACTTTACTTGCTCTGCTGTGACGGCAAGATTTTAGTGATTATTTTCCTGCTTTGTATTCTTTATCGTGGTGTTGCACACAAATAATCATTTTACTGAGTTTTTAAAACTAGTTGATACCTAAATTTTTTTTGTACCACAACATAAAAATCAACCATTCAATTGGGTACCTGTGCCTAGCACCTTCTTGTATCAAATCTCGTCTTTTCGCTGATCGTGTTCGGCGTGACATGCCACAGAATTTCAGGTTTGTTTTAACTTGGGTGTTCTGATGACATCACTTTCTGTGGTCACGTGTTTATAAAAAGAGTCAGCAATTGGATTGTCCATGAACTGGTCTGCTGTAGCAGTCAGGCTAGCCCGAAAGCAGGATTCGTTGTGGTCGCAGCAGGGTGGTGTACGCAGTGCATGCAACACAGGCGGTCACACTTGGAAATGATGACTTGAAACAAGGTCTCGCAGTGGTCTTTTACCTACTATTTTTGAGGCGACCTGACAGTGTTTTTTTCATCGGTGTCACAAAAACTTTGAGATAACCGGATGTAGTGTTGTGAACATTTTGAGTTACGGAGACATTTTTTTACATAAAATTGTAATCTTTTAGCAAGAAAAAGTCAGCCTACAAGATAAGACGGTCTGTTGACTAAACTGACTTGGAGTTATCAAGATTTTATTGTATATCCCCCATCCGCATAATGTTTGCTGGCCGCTTGGAAAAAAGGGCAAGAGCTGCTGCAAGGCCCACGCAGGACAATCATCCAGCCCGCAAATGTTGTTAATTTTCGAAGGCTTAAAATTCATTTTTAATAGTACCACTTGTTCACACTCGGCTTAGATTTATTAGGATTTCACGTGCAGTGGAACCATTAGGGTACTGTGCATGCTGAATTGGGGCTTCAGCATGCTGAAAATTTATCTTGCCAATTTTTGTGTACTGCAGCTTAGAGCGATGGCTCATGTACAACGTGATGCCTGCTGGGCGCATCCATGTTTGTGCACAAACCGAAGGAAAACTCCAAATTTTATACGGCATTTGTATGGCTATTTGCATATCTGCACCTGTATTCCAAAATGATATGTCAACAAAGCTGATACGCTAAAAACCTGACTCACAATCAGTAAATGAGCATTACATTTTGCTCTGCGTAAATAATGTGTATGCACTACAGATGCTTTTTCCGTGACTTTTTTATTTGGATTTAAGCGGTACCCGATGCATGTTGTATTTTGAGTACACAATTCAATATTCTATCTTATTTCCGATGTTCAAAAGTACGCAGATGGATTAACAATGTCTGCACCCAGGACGCCGTCAAGTTTTATCTGCGTGGAGAATGAGAAGTTAGCACTCCAGTAATTTAATATCACTCTATGGTGTTCAGACAGTTTCCTGTGCTGTGCAGTACTTGGTAAGTGGTTGTTTCAACGATCATTAAGGCATGCAGGTGCAGGCAGCGCATGCCACATTGCAAACATGCATCGCAGACTTGGTTTTTAAGCTACTAAAGAGACAGAGCTACACGTGCATACCATGCTTACCCCACACCATGCATGCAGTGCATGACTGTCACTGAACTGTAGATGCATTCAAGGTGAAAATAACACATTCCCCATTTGTGTTTTCTTTTCCTGCCTTTTCTTTTACGCCAGAAGGAAAAAGAGGAAAAGTGGTATTTCAGGGTGTGTTTTGAAAAAAAAAGAAGGAAATCTGGATAAAAACCAGAAAAGTGGCATCTCTAGTTTAAATTGATTTTAAAAAATTCTATCTCTAAAATGATGTAATATTGACCTCACGTTCAGAACCCCTGCATAGTACTGGAGAGCCATATTACTAGTCAACTTCTCACATTCAACTTCCACCAACCTTGCTGATGACATCCATCAATATTGCTCCTCTTTTCAGTATCTTTGTCAGCAACATCCAATGACTGACCTCCACTGGCTTCAGTCATTCTGAGTTCTCTGTCCTTCCTACATGTAGTCAGGATACATTGGAGAGCCGGTAGGAAATGTGGGTTTATGGCCCTGGGTGGCACCACAGAAAACATCAGAAGGAGAGTACGCACATCCTGGTCACAAAATCCAGAAAGTCACTGGCATTTCATTGATTTACCTCTGAACAAAATTTACCTTAGTTACTAATAACTACTGATTAGCTACATCCTGCTGTATACACTTCTATACTGGTGTTATTTAATTCAAATATGTAGCAGTTACGGACTACATTTATAGAGAGATATTTTCTAATATGGCAGTATTCTTCGAAATCGGGTATTACGTCATCAAAAAGCAATGGTAATAAGCCAACATTCACTGAAAATGTAAACACAGAGGCCAGCGTGAGGTTGTCTATGTGGCAAAATCCCCTTAACTTACGAGGTGGTATCCTTTATCGATCCATTCATTTTCAAATAAGTATTATTTATGTGATAGAATAATAATAACAATAGATTAATTATGCAAATGTTTTGAGGTAAGACTGATGCAGTATTGTGACACATAAAGCTTTAAAATGAAAATGACAGAACAAGTTCTTGGGTTATGACTGCGACGACAAACATTGCCATGACAATGTAGACATGACACCAGATGACTCGAACCAAAAAGAACAGAATGAAATATGTGGTGGTTTCCCTTCGTTGTAAAAAAGGTTCAGTAAACATTCCCAAAACACTGGCAAGAATATCAAGGTACTGAAATTCAATACAAAGTTTGCCAGTATGTTAGTATTTATGGATCATCAGTTAGTACTGTGCAGTTTTGAAAAAAACAAGGCATTATTTGGTAAAATAAAAAACCATCCAAGCCTACTTTGCCCCTTTGACCTGTTGGCATGGCATAACAAACTTTATGAGTAACCTTGAAAGAACAGGAATACTCTCAGGAACTGACTTTACAAATTTATGAATACAATCTTATCGCAGCCTAATGCTCCAAATTACCTCAATTTACAGGATTGCATTGACAGGCCAGCTATACTTTCATTAAGGGGCCAATCTAGTTATCTTGAAACCTTGTTAGAAACCTTATTCGTGACATATTGGTACCCTGTTTGTAAGGGAAGGTAGGATGGTTAGGTGCATATGACCTTATATTGCAGTATAGGGTTGAGAAGATTCAGCTGGGAGACGTGGGAAACTGAAGAAGCATATCCTCACCTGCCAGTGTCAGATTACCTTGCTGAAGAAGTCTTGATCAAATAAATACTTAAAAGAGAAAGCTGTGGAGGCCATTAACTTGAATGCCCTAGTGAAGACAGAGTCCCAATTTCATCAGGTTTGTGTGCTTACAAGTGCACTGATATGCAAGTATTAAGAGAGTTGAATGACTTTTTATAATGGAATCGCTACTACTCGGTGTACATTCAACATTTCAGATTTTTTTAAAGTTCAAAATCCTTGCCTTTGTAGGGATAAAATGCAAGATTTTCCAAATCAGTCGCCAGTATTGTATGTACATACATGGCCACCCAATTTTCATGCATGTGTGTACATGTACCCATGAATGACATGGACTGCTGACAATTGTTCCTATACACGAGTAAGATTTCCTTAACTTCTGCATCATTATCACATGTCCTAAATATATCTTTTTTTAAATTCAAAGTTAATTTTCAATGTTCAGTGAAAGTGCACATAAAATTCAGGAGCCAAGGGAGATGTTCGGTATGCCTGATTGTTTGTTCTAGCGGTGTTTGTTATAGCAGTGTTGACCTGTATAAGAAAAAATTGGAAGCTGAACAATTTTACCTACCCCGTTAGCTTTATAAGCAGTGCGCTCAAGTTCCTCTGGTTTGAGATGGTCCAGATCATCTGTATCTCCAAGGATGCCACATATGAAGGATTCCACTACTGACTCCCAGTTATTGCATAAAATATGCTTGTACACCTACATTTTCAAATAAAAAATTACTGAAAAATTACTGTACCCATAAAACCAAATTTTAGTAGAACAACCAATCCTATAAAGCATCTTTTCTGAAACTTTGAAAGTAATTGCCGGTTTTAAAAGTTGAATCTCTCATGTCATTTCTTTCTTGAGGAAAAGCCTTCATCCACTTTCTTACCTTTTTTGACATGTGCATAGAGTGACCAGAACATTAAAACTATCTGGAAACAAAGTAGTTTATGTTGTTGACAGATTCATTACTTTGCCAAGCCTTCTTCCTGAAGAACCCAAATTGCTTAAGGTAAAAAAATGCACTAAATAAACACAAAAAATGACACAGGGTATACTATAAAATGCTCAAAATCTACAGGAGCAATTGTTCAACTTAAGAAAACAACTTGAAATGTACCACCCTTGTCTTCCTTACCTTTGGGAAAAATATACAGAAGAAAGAGTTGATAGTTGGGTTGTTAAATGAGGTACGTTCATCCAATAAGATTCCCTCTACATAGTCATGGAATGTATGATGATTGCACAGGAGCTGAACACCAGTCTTGTCACTACCCTACACATAAAAATCACCAAAGAGATATAGCAAAGCTTTATGTACACATAGATCTTCTCATTTAACAAAACAGCAGTCGGTTTTTGAGATTATACAAATAGTGTAAACTACCTTTAAAAAATGGACATGGTAAATTTACAGTTTCAAACAAAAGCCTTGCCCCTTGATCCAAATATGCTAGTGCTTATACAACACACGACATGTACAAATATATTATGTGTGTTCTTCGCATCGCACAGCACACTACTGCAACAAACCTTTTGCGAGTTCAATTTAGATAATGTCTGGTACACTGAGTTATCTGATTGCACATAAAAGTAACAATCTGAATTCCACAGACCAAAGACACTGATGCTACACCTTGTGATTTGGGGCAAACTTTGCTGCAGCGATCACCATCTCTGGAATGGACTGGTTCCTTTGTGCCCTTCTCGTCCATTGAGAACAGTGTATTGTTGCAAGGCGTCTGTTATGTGACTAAGCAAAAGCTTGCCCCAAACCATGAGGCAACAGTGCTTTTAGTTTGGAGAATTCAGATTATGTTCATGTGAATTAAAAGAACTTAGTGTACAAAATTTAATTCAAATTTAACTTGTTAAAGGCTTATTATGGTAAACAATGCGTCGCATGCATCAGTCTGGACTTGCACACCAGTACATGCTGTGAGTTGTGTATACATGTGAATACGGTGCATCAATATGAAGAAACAGGTTTCATTGAGTACATTTGGAATAATTCTAATTAGCTCATTAGCTAATGAGATCTAATACAGAGTTGTTTATCTACTGGATGAAATGCAGCCATTTTGTTCTGTGCACTCGCAAGGATTCATTTCTCAGGACTGTAAAGGAAGGGAATGTTATTTTCCAATAACATAATATGCATTTGTACATTGTGCATTGTGAGTAATATGCATTCTACACATTTCATTGTTTATAACCAAGATTTTGCATCAAACAACAGTTGAACCCAAATTTTTTCGGGGCATTCTTTTTTCAATTAATGAGAGATCTGATTTAGATTGATTAAGAATAAGCTGATCTGCTCTGCTGCATAGGGCTGAGTGAATTCCAATAATTCACTATCTGAATATTCGACCTTCAATTCGATCAAATATCCGAATATTCACTCTACCGACTGGCAGATCGTCGATGAACAAAAATATACAAAATTGGTTGCAGTAACACACACAATTGTAGTTATAATCATTTGAACAGCTTCTCATGTCTAGGAGTACCGGCATCTCCAGCCAGGATTTAGCAAAATTTAAGAAAATTTAAAATTTACTTTTTGCCCTGTTGAAATTTCTATTCCTTTTAAATTTTTTTATTATGTACTTTTCGAATCGCAAGATTTCTGTCACTTTCCATTTGAATTTGCTTGAAACAAGCCTCCGTAGTGCAACTTTTCTCATTTAAAACAAAAAAATCTCCATTCCCTTTCATGAATTTTCCATTCAAATATTCAAATTTGGAAAACAGTATTCAAATTTTTGATAATCGATCGAATATTCAGATATTCGGCACAGCCCTACTGCTGTAATGACCAGTTGACAGGCTGTAAAAAAATTGGTTAAATAAAAGCTTTCAACAACTTAGTTTCTATAATTGTATTTGCAGGCAATAATAATTCTCTTGTGGAAGTTCAAGCGGTCTTAAAAAACCATTTAGTGCTGAGTTTTACTAGATTTAAATTTTAAAACAACAGCAAAAGCAGATCCAGGACAATTTTTTGAGGGGGGATTGTTTACTGGGGCCCCAAAATTTGGCAATTGTTTTACATTACCTCTTACATGTATGGCCGTTTGGAGGCCCGAGGCTAAATTTGGGGGCTTTTTACCCATTAGTGGGGGAAGGAAAGTGAAATAGTCTTTCAAAGTTGCCTTTTAAAATTATTTTCTCAATAAAAATACCAATTTAGCTTCTTTTGTGAAGACGGGCCAAGTTATCTACACTCCGTTGATCTCCCAATGAACTATAGTTACAGGGACAGAATCTTTACGGGGACACACAGAAATCTACACAATCTGGCCCACCTACCAGGGCAAAACACCCAAACGTCATGCCATTACAGGTTATGCCTTCCCATGCATCCTCAAAAATTAAAGAGTTTTGTAATCACTGTGATAAGCTCCGGTAAACCTTTCGTAAATTTGTAACAAACCCAGCCTCTGAGACACCATGGAGACGCCAGCAACAAATAACCTCTAGGGTCATTACCTATGTAAACTTCAACTCAGGGCCCCCCTTTTCCAAGTGGAGTGTGCAGTGGATTCACTACAATGGAACCCTCTGTGAACAGGTAACACCCCCCCTGTAGTGTGGTATGAGTCTACTAGAGAATACTTACCTGAATCACCCACTAATGCATTATTTCCCTAATGCCAGTTAGCCATTCTCTAAAATCTGATCAACTGCAGTGCGCCCTTATCTGCCATAATGCAACGATTCATTGCTGCCATGATGGTTGTCTGTAACTGATAGTTACTATTTCATTGGGCAATGGTGTCATGTGTCACTGGAGAAGGGGTTGAGTTGAACTCTTGGTAAAATCATACTTGAGTTCTTTGGTCCTGCACAGATCCCATTTTAGGGTCCAAACTGGGTACCAGAGTTTATCAAACAAAACCCCTGAGTAAGAGTTAATGTTTGATACAAAGATATCTGGAGGTTCAGAGATGGGCAAATGATGTTTGGTTTGGAACCGAAGTGCAGGGATGAAGCAGTCTCCTTGGAATTCCTGACATATTTTGTCCCTTTGTGATCGAAATTGCATGCAGGTCACTTCCCCAGAGAGATGTTGTCACTACTGACGGGAAGGTCTGTTTCATACTTGTATGTATAAGAGAAGCTCAGCTAATTGGTGTAGGAGGGCTTCTGTGAGCTATTGAAGAACCAGACCGCAAGTCCCAGGATGGAAATATGTAGCAATAAACATTCCCCCTAGATGTTAAAAGGCTGATGACTTGAGAAGTAAGGCCATCATTCAAACTGTAGTGAACTTTTATGACAGCTAAGCAACAATTACTGATCACTGCTATTTGAAGGCCCAAATTATAAAGACGGAGGAAAGTCCATAATGGTGGTTACAGAATGTATTGGTTTGTGATAAGGATTGCTCTGTGCACAATTGAATGAAATGCTGCAGTCAACTGTCATACATCTCACGGACAGACAACCACTGTCCTCATGTGGCCATGGCCACAGCATTGCCATAAAGGCCTCGCACCTTGAAGGATCGTTGCACAAGGACGAGCAAGTCAAATGTAGAACCTCTGACTGTAGGTGCAGAGTCTTGGACTTTGGTTGGAAGAGGAAATCTGCTTGTTTTGTGAGAAAAAGTGGTGGATTGATGAGGGGTCTGGTCAGTAGGGAATTATTGGTGTAGCCAAAGCAAAGTGATGAGAACGATGTGATGTAGCTCTTGTTTTACATCTTGGCGAGTACCACTCAGAAATAAAGTTATCAATGAGGGTTGCTGTTTATGTTGAGGTCATCTGTCTAGCAACTGAGATGTGAATGGAATAGTATGGAGTAGATTGTAAATGTGGGTGCATTTGACTGAGATTTTTTTTTTTTGGCGGTGGCCGGGCATGTGTGCACGGCTGCTGGTCAACATGGCGTCTGCTTTTCCAAGATAAAGAACAAGTATTATGATATTTAGTGGCTCTTCTTTGCTTCTCTCAATTCTTACTAAAAAAATTATTCATTCAAACACAAAGTGTGGTTGAGGGATGTTTTTGTCAACTGTTCAGCTACATGTACCTGCATCTCCCAAGCACAGCTACATCAGCCTGGTCTGTCAGGCTGGGGGACTGTGCAGGGTTGGTACTATGGGGTGCTGTTACATCGAAGTTGAGGTCCCGCTTGGGAGATGTACCCACACATGAAATAATTCTCTGAGGAAGTAGGGTGTTTGAGTAAGGTAGCTCGAATGGATAGAACTGACTGAAATACCTCAATACGTTCTTGCCTAGTGACGACTTGTTATCATGGTAAGGCATGGCCACTGCCTTAGTGTGAAAACGGATATTGAGGGCCTGCATGGGAAAGTTCGGCAGGTTCTCTAGCCTTTATTCCATCATTCACGGGCAGTGGGATGCGATGATTGCCCCAGCGACACAACCTACATGACTGCTGATTTCCATCAGTGTGAATGTGGTTAAAACCATCAGAAACATGACTAATAACATGCAAGATCAAAGAGAGATGACCATGTTCTCTGTGGGACTTAAGGAAAACAGGTAACCAGGGAAATCATGCTACCAGAGGAAGGCTTCAGGCTCTCAGCACAAAAACAGCCCTTTGTGACTGGAGTGCCATCTGGTAAAATGGCTTTCTTTACTGCTCAACAAAAGCTGGTTTGTGGTGGACATACAGGGTCCCATAAATCACGTATTTAACCCTCCTGTTGGTCAAATCTAATGTGACCAGAGGGTTCAACCTGTGGCACAGATGGATTAATGTACTTCATGCTCACAGTCACCCTGACTGTGTTAGACCTCGTAGCAGGCAGAGTGGGCACACATCAGCCACACCCATACCCAGCGCATCTCTCCACTGGACCTGACAGCACGTACGGTAAGTGACTTGGGAATGTCCACACGCCAAGTACAGGGTCGGCTCACCCAGGAGGCCACAGTAGGCCCATCTTTGACTGAAACCAAACTAGTCTTCCGTCACCAGGTCGGGACTGCTAGGGGTATACGGCACTTCCTCTATTATATACTGTTGCCTTCAAGCGTGACAGTCACGGGAAAAGAGGGAGGCAAGGTCCACGTACCCTGACCAGGATGAGGCCACTAGGAATATTGCTGACCTTTTTCTCTTTTATTCCGTTCTCGGTGAGCACGGTCATCACGGGAAAGGACAGATGGCAAGGTCGGTGTTCTATGATCAGGGTATGGCTGTTTGGGCTATACTGCACTTTGTCACTCTTACCCTGTTCTCGGTGGTCAGCGGGTTGCAGCAATCATGGGAGACAATTGACAAGAAGGTTGAAATCTGGCACAATGGACCACCTGCCAGCCCCAGGTTTATAGCGAACATGACTCTAGAGCGCAGGGTCAATTCACCCCAGAACTTCCAAGAAACTAGGTCTAAGTTCTCAACTCCCTTCGGTCATATCCTCTGTCACAGTAATGAGAACAATGGGGGTATACCTCACTTCTCTCTCGTTCTCAGTGAGATGGAAGTCACAGGTGAACAACAGAAACTCAGCCTGTGTTCCCTTGCTCGTATTCATCAGCTCCATCCTCACCATCAGTGACAGTAGGACGGGGGTGTTCCTTAACCCCAGGAGTGTACGAGTGTGACTCCATGGAATTGCCCTTAGAGAGCAGGGGCAACAGAGAGCACTCTGCTCTATTTTCTACTGGAACTACTGATGGTGGGCTTTGAAGATGGAATGATAGGGAAACCAGACATTCCCTAATACACATGCAAAATGGGGAAACAAAAATATGTATACATGCAACGGCTGTACAGTCTAGGTACAAACCAAGTACTAACAAAGCAAACAACATACATATATAGCGGGGACGCCCTAATGTGCATAAGCTACATTAAGAAGAAATATAAATCTGTGAAAGGGGGTTAACTTACTATAAGCTCAGTTGATCAAGATATATCACAGATGCAAAGCACAGATTCCAAAAAATCAAGAGGTATGAAAAACACGTCTGTGTACTATAGCGTTAAGAAAAAGGACGATCATGGCAGCAATGAGGCGGCAGAATCGATATGCATAATCGATAATTGTCGCGATAAACTCCAAAAGATGTACTGTACATGCACATAGGGAAGTCAATGCACCGCGTGTTGAGCCCCGCATTACTGCATTTAGGCCACACAAATACTCCATTGAAAACCTCAAACCACAAAGTCACTGTTGGCCCCAGCAGCTGCAAGGGTCTTACAAGTATTAGGGAGCAGAACCAAACCAACAGACTGTACGCGTGTGGAGAGGTCACTGGTATTGATGTGCTCAACCACATGCTGTTAATAAACAGACATCAGTCAAGCAGTGTAGGGCTTGTCATTTGAAACTTCTTGGCAACCGTGGCGAAGGAAACTGATACCTAAGTGTGTTTTTCTAATGCCGACTTACACCAAGGATTTTTTGTGGTCTTGTAGAAAAGGGAAAGAGTGAAACATGCAGAGAAATGAATGACAACTTAGAAATACCGACTTAGAAATGAGGTGAGGGCATCAATACCAGAAGCCCCTCTACTAACAAGCATGCACTCTGTCCATTTTGGAGGTTGCCTTATTGAGCGAACTTTACCGCTAATGTGTGTCCCATGATATGATATGATATATGATAATTTAAGTTGAAATTTGCTTTCCACGAGCATTAGAGTTCTAAATATGGAGATAATACATATACATCAGCTTTTTTTTTACACGGCTCTCATGACATAGTGGAAAATGATGTCATCACGGTAATATCGGATATCATGATATTTTTTCATGATATTGCAATATAAAAAGAAATGAATATTGAAAAGGCTTACAATGCAGTTGATCAAGTTTTAGCACATGGCTAACTGACGTTAGGGAAATAATGCATTAGTAAGTGATTCAGGTAAGTTGAATGCAGTAGACTACTGAAACAAAACTCCTTTATTTGAAGAGAGTGCTGTTCAGCTAAAAACTACATATATGCTTTTCTTATCTATGAGAAACATAAATCTTCAGTATAGCAAAACCATGATATACACGGCAGGCTAATGTTCTATTCCAATGTCAATGCTGCATGTTCTGTGACACATCACTGTAAACATAAAATATGATAAAGATATGTGTTTTCCTACGATGAGAAGCAGCTAAATTTGAGGCTTGATACAGTTTATCAAATATGGCCACAGAGACCATAAAGGATGCTGAATGTACCTCTGAGTGGTAGATGATTTTCCAGAGCTTGGCAAACCAGTCCAGTTGCAATGGAACACCTTCCAATGCTACTAATACACCTGAAACAGCACAGATGTCAATATTCATTACATTACCAAATATGAATGGATGCCATTCTGTCAGTAGCAGTAATCTCATACATGAGTAAATAAAGCTTACTGTAACGGGAAAGAAAATTATTTCTTTTTAGTGAGCACTGTGTATTTTAAATGTATTTCTTTTTCTGAAGCCAATTTTAAAAATTATTTTAAGGGGCAATTTTGGATTCTTTGTGGAATAACTGCTCTCTGAAATTGATCAAAGCACGGCCACAGTTGGTAAATCAAAATAAAAAAGTGCAAAAATCTCCTTCACATAATCATCATGTGATCAGTATGCAATCAGAAGCTACAATAGTTTAGGCCTCACTGCCCACTATGGAGCAGCATTTTTTAAGGGGGTGAGATTACCTAACAATTTTTGTGACATTTATGACCAAACAGTTTATTTCTTACTCTTTGAGAAGTTCACATTTTATTTGATTGAGTCAAAATGAGAATAGCATGGGGATCATGAATAAAGCGGCTTCTGAAAACAACATATAATCAGAGAACTTTTTTAAAAGATGCTTAATGTTTTCATACACTTTCACATACTTTTTGCTTGCCTGAGGACCCTTTTCAGTGCCCCAGAATCCATTAAAGAAGGCCAAACATCTAACAATTGGAATGGCCTAAAAAAAAATGGGAATGGTTTCCATCAGTATGACAGTTAAGGCAAAAGATAAAATTCTCCCTCACATTATAAGTGTGTGGGATGGGTCTACTAGAGAATACCTACCCAAACAGTCACTACATGCCTATTATTATTCGTTGAAAAGTTTTGCACCCTGACCTCCCACAATGCAACCCGGCTTTGCTGCCATGATCGTCCTTTCGAAGCAACACAAAGAGACAGAGCCAAAATGGGGAGGATGGGCCAGAGAGCACTGTTTGGGTAGGTATTCTCTAGTAGACCTGACCTACACTTAATGTGGGGGAGGAGTCTATGGCACTCTACCTACCCAAACAGTCACTACATCTGCAGAGTGGCACCAATCTAGGAGGGTTGGCTATGACATAAAAGTGATAGTCTTGAGCATAAAAATATGCACTGAGAATAGTACCAAATTAATGCACTGGGAGGTAATAAACACCAATCTCACCAGAAAGGGATCTCCAGGCTGATTGTCCCTTTGTTTAGTCTGCAGATGGCTCCTTTGACCTCTGCACTGCTGACAGTAGGATCATCTTGCCATGTGCACAGTCACTCTGCAAGACATCTTTTAGGTAGCAGGAGGTAGATGTAAGAGATTTCCAGCAGGCAGCCTCAAAAGTGTCTGCAATGGTGATCCCACAGAAGTAAGACCAAGACGTAGGTATACATGTAGCTCTTACGTCATGGGCTCTGATATAGTGCTGGCTCTGGTTATCGGGATGTGATGCCCAGTTTGGATTAGTAAATTTAATAGCTCAAACTATCCAGTGGGCTATGATGTCTCTGGCCAGTGTGGTTTGGTAGAAGTATTAAAAACTTGGAAAACCGTACCTCTCAGGTTCTTGGTTTTGGCTAGATACCACTTCAGCGTATGAACTGGGAACCAGAGCTTGTCTGCATCGACTTGCACATGCAAAGCAATGGTCGGTACAAAAATTTCTGGTGGATCAAAAGAAGGAGATTGCTTTTGGTTTAAAAGCCAACGGATGGAATGAAGCGAACGTTGTGTGGCTTCCAATGTACGTGTCCCTCAGCAATGGAGAAGGCTTGAAGTTCAGAACCCCTCCTGGAAGTGGCCATGGCCAGAAGGAGGCTAGCTTAACACTGGTATGCAGCAGGGTTGCATTACCTAGAGGTTCGAAGGGGGCATCAGTGAGCATCCTTAGAACTTTGCTCAGGTCCCATAACATGACTAAGCACCTTAAGTGTGGGTGCTCAATAAACATACCACGCACAAGATGATGAAGGACAGTGTTATCAGATACAGAGGAGCAATCCATGAAGCCAGAATGTACAGCCAGAGACACCATAGCCAATTTACCATACAACGGCACTGTCGGTGCTGAATGGAGAATTCCTGACTTCAGCTGCTAGAGGATGTCTGGTCTTGCCAGAAGGATGAACAGCTGGTGAACCAGGAAACTGGTTAGTCTAGGGATCCGAGGCTGAAGTGGCCAGAGAGGGGCGATAAGCAGAATCCGACAGTGTCTGCACTCTATCTTGGATATGACCCTCGGAACAAGAGAGATGGGAAAGTGTACTCTGGTAGGCCGGTCTAATCAATCTGCAGGGCGTCTGTAGCCCACGCTCACGGGTGAGGCGTTCTGGTGCAAAACACCAGGAGTTGGATGTTGTCTGCTGACGCAAAGAGATCATTGAGGTCTCTCTATCGCTGAGATGAATAGTGCCATGAGCCAGAGCGTCTGCTACAGTATTGTCGGGCCCTGCGATGTGGATCGCTTGCACGTTGATTGAGTGATCCATCGCCCAATGAAAGATTTCCCATGTCAGGACACACAGCCGGGGAGAGCATGTACCGCCTTGATAATTGATGTAGGCTACTGCTGTGGAGTTGTCCAAGCAGATCAGGCCGTTTTTCCCTTGATGTGTGCAAGGAAATGACACTGATACGATTTCTTTGGAATTCAGTGCTCCAGTTGATGTGGAGAAGGGAGGCCCCCCATCAGAAAAGATGATGCATTGGTCAAAATAACTACCTCGGGTTTGGCTTGCTGGAAGTAGCGCCCGGTGAGTAAGTGGTCCTTTTTTAGCCACCATAGTAGATATTGATGGACATCCTCTGAAATGTTGACTGGTATTCTCGATAAGTTCTGTCTCGGGATGACAGGGAGAGAGTAGATGGATCTGGAGTGGTCTCGCGGAGTCTGCACCACGGTATCAGGTCCCCCATACTGGCCGTTAAGCCAAGGAGACAGAGCCAAGCAAGGACAGGTGGTGACTGCGACAAGCGGAAAAGAGAGCCGCAGTTTTGAAGATTGGTGACTCGGTCGGCCGTCAGAGTGATTATACCCCTGTGGAGATCAAGTATTGCCCCCAGGTACGCCGGAAGCTTGGATGGTATCAGGTTCGGCTTTTCTAGGTTGATGAGAAAGCCAAGACGGGAAGTGAGTTGCGGCTACGGCCTCGTCTAGGGATCGGCCCACGATCAACCAGTTGTCTAGTTACTGGAAAATTACGACATCTAGCTGGTGTAGGTAAGCCCCAATGGTCTTGGCAATACGTGTAAAGACTCTGGGCGAAGTTGATAGGCCGAATGGCAGGGCACGGAACTCATATACTCTCCCTTCGTACATGAATCGGAGGAACTTGTGGTCCCGCTTGTGAACGGGTACAAAAAGGTAAGCATTGCGAAGATTGATCGGTGAGGCCCAGGACGGAACTAGTAGGGATTGTATCAACGTCAAGATGGTTTCATGCAAAACTTCTTGGGGTGGATAAACTTGTTCAATGGCTTCAAGTTGACGATGGGATGCCATTTGTCTGTTCCCTTTTTGGGTGTGAGAAAGAATGTTGAAACAAAGCCCACTCCGAGCTGGCTGGGGTAAACATGAAGGATAGCCCATTTTAGAAGAAGGGAATTTATCTACCACTCCAGTGCCAAGCATTTGTCTTTGTTGTGAGGGACAGGAGTCGGCCATAGTATCGCTTCGGACGGCAGGGCGCTTGTAAACTTGAGGGAATATCCAAGGGCCAGAGTCAAGAGGACCCAGCTGTCCAAGTTGATGATCCAACGTGAAGTGTAACAGTCACCTGCAACGTCCCTGAAGGAACAGGGGGCACATGATGACTTCCCACAGAGCTGGAATGTCTGACTCATCCTGGGAGTGATACGGGTTGAGGCCCAGTATTTGCTCGATTGTTGAAGAGGGGGACAAAAAGAGTGACGCATCATGAAAGTCTGGCCCGATGTGGGCCTGACTTGGCAGAAACTACACTGCTGAGGTCGCTGCGAAGTTGAAGGAGGTGTTTTGTGGAGCTATATTTTCTTGGCCGTATCAACCCGCTTAGCCTTGGTCTCCAGCATGTCAACAAACTTGCCGGCGAAAAGGTCTTCCCCGAAAAGCACGAAGGCGAGACTTAAGTCCCTCGTAAGGAATATGCATTGCATCAAGGTCATTTGATCTTCTCATTGAAGTCGCCAGACAGGATATTAAAACAAACTGTTCAAACGTATTGTTCAGTCCTTCATCAAGGCCACAAAGAGCTAGGGCTGCAAAATCTGGGGAGACTGGGGAATTTTACTGGCGCGCACAGGAGATGTTCTTCAATAAAAGGAGTGGGAAGGCAGTACAACGGAGCCCAAAGCAGGAGGCTTAGTTGAGCTTTGCGAGCGTGGATTCTAGCAGGGACTTGTCCTTATCCTGGAAGGTCGCCTTAGCAGATGGTTTTTCTGGAATCAGTGGAGATTTTGTCTTTGCCGCATCGGGAAGGTCTGGGACTGACAAGAAATTCTCTAATCTTCAGCCGGGAAATAATAGAACACCGCCACTCGCTTGGGAAGTGCACGCCATTACTTGGCCTTGGCAAGGGACTTGAAAATCTACACGAATAAGTGATCGAGTGGGAGTTCAGGAAAAATTGGTCCGGGAGACTCCACTCGAGCCGTGTGGCATTTGAATGAGCCATGGCTGGTGTCCTCTTTGGGGGAGTGACTGATGGCAGGCCGAGCACGTTAATCATGTCCGACTGAAGAAGATCGAGGTGGCCCTTGGACAGAGTGAGGGCACTAATGGAATCAACTTTGTCCTCTGAAGAAAATGCTGGTTGCGTGGTCGGAGACAGGGCCGTGTCCTGCTACGAGCCATGTGTACTCCCGTGGGGAGTGGCCTGCTCTGACAGAGGAATGCCCGGTTGATGTAACTCCGCTGTGGAACCCCGTCCGGTGTCATCATGGCTCACGACTGAAGGGGGTTGAGGGGGCTGGTATGCCAGGAACGGGTCCAGGGCAGTAGAGGCCGGCGGTGGTTTATCGTTACGGCGGTGAGTGATGGAAGTCCGGGCTTCATTGATGGATAGGAAGGCTGAGATCTGTGGCTCATAAGTTGGCTCAGGATGATCGAAGCGGTGCCTCTTCTTGGGTTTCAAAGAACTCGATGAAGAGGAGTATTATATGTGTTCGCCTATCCTAGTACTGGGTGACCCTACATCGGAGGTGGCAGTCAGGGCTTCAGGAGGTAGAACACCCAGGGAGTGTTCCCAGTCGAGGTTGGTGGGAACTGCAGAATTCCAGGCAGAGGGACCAGGAGAAATGAGGTCCGATGACCCAGTGATGCCCACTAGAAAGCCTGAGCTGCAGATGGGCTGTGGCAGCTTGGAGCCCCACTGGCATAAAAGCCTGGTAGGCTCCACAAAACCCAAAATAGAGTTGGTGGGTGCCAGGGTGTAGTGGCTCAACGGCGCACCAGAAGATGACTTCAGTGTCTTGGCCGGAGGGAGTATGCACGGAGGCCACAGGAGAAGTAGTCTTCTTGGCCGATGTCGAATGGCAGCTGGTGTTCTTTGGAGCATGGAGGAAGGACACTGAAGGAGTTACAACTCTGGCACATCAAAGTGCTCCATGATCATCGCCGCACGGTCAGACGAACAATAATAAACATACCGAAAATGCCTTATTACTGCCTGCAGCTTAGTTGAACAAGTGGGGCCAGTAGTATCGTAGCAATATTTGTGGTGTTTTCTTTGCAATTAACTACAACTAATTGCAGTGACTAGGAAATAGAAAGAAAAATATCTGTCGTTAGATTTACTTTTGCTGTCATGAATAATTTTTTAAAAGATGATGATGCACTTTCCATTATCCATGCAATGTTTGCAGTTTTAGTTTTTCACTCGAAAACATCAGTTTTCAAAGTCTTTGTACGAATTTGGCTAAGACTGGCCAACAACATGTTGACCACCACAAGACAGTAAAGTTCACGAAAAACAAAATGCGCTGTTTCACCACAAGGAGTGATCATGAGATTTCATGAAATACCTTTCAGTGTAAATTCCGCGATAAAAATTATTCAAATAAAACACAAAATCTTATTAACAACTTGGCTATTTATTCCCAAAATAAGTCCAGAAGAAAGAGTTCGATAAGGGCAATAACTGCACATGAACACTTAGGGTACACAGCCTAATAAAAGCAACTGTGCAAGCATAAAATTTGATGTTGTTGTCAGATCATATCAAGCACCAACAATGGTATGAATATTCAACTTCCTTTACTGATGTACACAACGTTTTTAAGGATGAGATTATCAGCGAAAAAATTGCGGCGATGATCATGGTGTACAAAGGGGCTTATGGATGTGAAAACAGGTGGTGCGTTGTATGCATTGCCGCACTCTGGCTATGGACATACTGGGCATGCCAGAAAGCGGTAATTGGTCAGATGTTATAACCCAGGCAGTTCAAACTCCTTCTGTGTCCTTCCTCCATGTTTGGAGTTGCTGGGGGAACACTGGCTGGAATGCCACGTGGATTCCTCTGGGCCATGGTGGTTGAAGGGCATGGGGAACAATGATGGAAAGACGGGCCCCGGGAGCCGTCTGATGGGGCACTCTCTCAGGAACCCCGGCTGGCTGGCCAGGCCAGCAGTTGACCAAGGAGACAGGGTCCTTGCCTGATCCTGGCAGTGTCCCTGCTCAGGTCTTCCACAGTCGACCACAGAGCTTCTCCGTCAGCTCCATGGGGTGAAACGAACCAGGGGCCTGGCCAGATCTTAGCTGGAATCCCCTGGACAATGGCAAGGCCTTTTCCTCGTCCGGTTAGCCGGAGAAGACAGGGGAATATAACAGATCCTGACAGCAACCCCCTGAATTCAACCGGCTAAGGACTGTAAATTATTGGTAGGGCAGACACAAGCGTAGCTGGAACGAACCTTGCAGTACCAACAATAAACACCTGAAGGGTGCACAGAAGGAAAATTGAAGAGAAGAACACAAAATATACACACAAAAATACTCTTACCAACAAATAGATGAAAATCAAGGTAATATTTTATTCACAAAGGAAAGATTGGTGATCAAATCGACACAGAACCTGAAAACTTGATAAAACAAAGATGCCTCGAGAAACGTGTCTGTTACGCTATGGCGTTAAGAACCAGAAGGTTGATCATGGCGGCAGAGCCGCCTTGCATTGTGGAAGGTCAGGGTGCGCTACAGCCGATCAAATCTTTCCAGAGAATAATAATAGGTGACTGTTTGGGTAGGTGGAGCGCCGTACACCAAAACTTTGCCAAAACATTGTAGTCAATTACTTAGGTTGATGGTATCCTCAGTGAACAGGTTGATACTCAGTGCTGTGTGACAGAGGGTCTCAACCAACTGATGATATGGGAGAAAGTAATCACGGAGGGCAGCATCATAGACTGGATCAGAACCCTGCATTCAACAAAAAAAAACAGGTTCACATTTATGTCTGCAATAAACCGCTTCAGTGTAAATGCAACACACTGAGACATTTGGTTGTTTCTCGCTTCCAACTACATGTAGCTTTGCTCCATACACAACTACATGATGTAGTATTCACATATAAATGTCACTTGCTGTCACTGCAACTTTTAAGAATAATGAATGAAGGGGCCATCCATTAAGTAATACACAAATTCTTCAGATTTTAAATCCAAGGCCCCCAATGCATACACATCCCATACTGTAGTTTGGCTTAGTTTGGCTTATCCCACCAGTGGTGCAGGGTGTAAAATAATTTGTTCTATGATTTTTGGTGTCTGCATGTACACATTGCCCCTAATCCTCCCTCCCCACTGTAAGTGTATGCAATGGCAACAAATCTAACCCTCCCCCCGCTTGTGGATGGCCTATACACAGTAAAGAGTAACTGTGCAGACACACTGTAAATACACTGCTGAAGAAAGGTTTCATGTATTTATCATCTTTTAAATGAACCCAATGAACCCCAGAAAAGTTTGGAAGTACACAGTAGCAGGCCAACAAGCCAAGGGATTATCAAGTATGAGTAAATTACGTCTTTAAAAACGATAAACAGTTTTGAATACGAATGTTGCATGGAGGTCTACATGAATACACTGTGCTATGAACATGCAGACAGTAAGCCTCATAACTGTAAATGAACATTCTTACATGTGATGTTTCTAGCTGACTTGGATGAAGAAACATCTGTAGTTCTGGCCTAGGAGGTCGCATACTAGTCTTGTTGGGGGCTGGCTTGGGCATGCGCCTGGGAAAATATGGACCTGTGGCCACTGAAAGATAATACAACCAACTTGTCAATATATATTTCAAGTTACAAAACAGCCGATATTTTTCATTTGTCTAGGAAGAACACATTATAAACTAACTGAAAACAAATATCCACTAGTTACCATAATTCACAGTTATCAGACTGAACTTTGTTTTTGAATGAACTAAGCTTTTATAACTTCACTTTTAAAAGTTTTATGTTAAGTTAAACTCCTGCATGGAATAATACCTTAAAAAACACCAAACATCACCAAAGTAATGAGTCGGATCAGTTTTAGCAAGACTTCCTCATCATAATTTGGACATATATTGTACACATCAATTTATGGGTTTTGGGCTGTGACCTACTTCTGAAAATTCTGTCAATCATCTTAAATTGGGGAAAAGATTGTGAGTGGTGATGTAGTTTGATTTTTAAAAAAATCACTTTTATCTGCGACGTCTTCACGTTCCCCTATTTCCCCTGTCCCTCTCTTAATTTTTCCAATTAAATTGCAACTAACAATAGGAATAAGTTTTTGTCCTTTTAACCCTAACATTCCTCAATTATTTCATGTCAATATGATTTTCCATACACTCTAGGAGGTTTAAATAAACAAACTTATGACAGGGTACATGTAAAAACTTGATTTGGGCAATCATAAACAAACTGTCTGTTTCAATTCTGGAACTCTTCAACCCAGTGTCACTGGTCTGATAAGTTAACAGGCCATATACCTGTACATGCATGGGGGTTACAACCACTGCATATACTGTGCATGCATCGAGAGCTGGGGGAGGGTCTATCAAGTCAGCCTTTTGTGTATATGTCATGGATGGCCAGCTTATAACTCCTACCTCCACCCCCCCAATTGTAAGAAAATGGAAAGACTGAATGCCAAGGAATGGTCCTTATTCTGAACACTTGAGTATACTTACATGGGATGTTATTCTTTTGAAACTGGAGATGTACATGGAGGATGATGGGCACCAGTCTCTGCACACACTCTCTTGGGTACAAGACTACCAACTCATTCAACAGGGCTGCCGGAAAGGGAAAAAACGTCAACTGCAAATGAATGACTAAAGTGTTTTAGTTCAATTCTTTTATTTCAGTTGTTTTTGGAAGAAAATCTGAGTTGTTTTTTAAAAGACTTTGGAAAATGGAAAAGAATAAAGAAAAGTCTTCTGTAAATTTTGTAAATAAGAGAAGGAAAAAGAAGAAATGTAAATGAGAGACGAAATAATGAAGAAAAGACAAGAGGTGTATGAGTAAAATTCTTTGAGAAAAAACAGTGTTGTCTGTGCTTTTTTGTAAGTTCATTTTATATAATTGGGGGAAGAAGTTTTCAGGGATGGGTTCAAATAATAGTCTTCAAAAGTAAAAATGGGTGAATTAAGTTAGGCAGAAAAGCAGACATTAGGCTCTAATGAATAGAGGTTTTGCATGGCAGCCATCTTTCCGGTAGCTGCTTTTGTCACGGAGGAATAGCACAAAAGGTCTACTCAAGTGTATCCCTGTGGAACAAAAGCTCTTACTGGAAAAATGGCTGCCATGCACAACCTCTGTGTTGAATAACACAGGGGAAAATGCTAGAAGGTGCATGGACAATGCAGCAGTACCTAGCACACACTCTAGCAGCACAGCCTGACCGGGTGCAGTGTGACCCAGTGTACGCTCCAGACCCGGCCTGGTTGGCCTTGGTATGTGTGAGCAATAAAACATTATTTAATACCAGCAGCCCAGCAGTCACTCATAAAACAATACCCTGCCTATTGGGTTAATTAAATAAAGAAAAGGCTTTGACAAATGTTAAAAAGTAAACTGAAGTTTGCAATCAAATATACCTAGGCTTTCCTTTCTGACATTGTCTGGTGTGTAACAGTTAAGCAGTGTTAGCAATTTCTGTGCAAATTCCATACGTTCTTGCCACTGTAGTAAGGATTGCTTCACATCTGAAAGGAGATAAGAATTAGTATTATTCACTCACATAATGATAAATTTATGAAATCTTCTGAACTAAAAGCATCCCAAAAAATGAGGTATCAATTACTCAGAGAGTCAACAGGTGTTTTCGTTTATATGGACCATGTTTTTTAAATCAGAGATTAAGATTCATGTTCCATGCCAGAAGAGCTGATCTCTTTTAGTTTCTTGTATTTTGAACTTGTGGCAAAGCTTGACAAACTGTAAGCAGAGGTGCCATTGGAGGAAAATAAAATATCCACAAAATGATCACCAGAGGTTTCAGAGGGCCCCAAAGTAGTGTAGGATCTATGGTACACACTGTGTTTGCTTCAAGATACCCCTTAAAATACCAATTTCTTATGTTGTATCTCACTTTTCATGTGGACAAACATCTTAATGGTTTCAAGATGTTAAAAAAGCTTGTTTTTAAAAATCCTGAAATCAGGAAGCATCCTGACAAATCTCACCCCTGTGTAAGGTAAGTAATTCCAGTGTACCTAACCACAATCTTTGGTCAATGCTTTAAACTGATGGGAATTGAGAAATGCAAGATGCCCCATTATTTGTCAATAAACAAAATTACAGAAAACTATGGTTTGTTTCAGCTGAATCCCATTTGAAGACACCCTTTGTGCAAAGACAAATGACATGTATGTTTTCCACCTGTACCTTTTGATCACAAATCTAACCACACTCACAAACACTAACTCACAAATCAAGGCTAGGTAAATTTGGTTGTGCTTCAAAATACCTTTTCTTTCCTTGTATTTGCTAGCACACTGCAATGTTAGCAGGGTGATTGACAACAGCTCCACCAGATCCCCTGTCACATGGCATGCTGTGGCTTCATGGTACATCATATGAAGTGTGTTGAATGCCTAGAAACAACAATCAAAATTACCCAGGCTCATACCACAATACAATATCCTCCCTCCCCCAGGCCAAAAAAGGGCACTCAGGTTTGCTTGTTTATGACAGGAAAACCTGACAGTTGCTACACAGTATCTTCCCATGCCAGTGAAGAGTGGTTTGTCAAGCCTGTATCCAGGCAAGTTTAATGTAGTTAGTGTCACGCCTTTCTGAGAACTGACCAATTCCAGTAGACTTACTAATATCTCCAAAAATACATTTTGAGACTGAAACAAACTTTCCACTTCTCTAAAATCATTTAAGATCAAATACATAAATAATCTTGGAATTACTTACATCTGCTAGTCTACTTAACCCGTGGTAAGTGATGACTCCTAGTCTGTCGTCATCATTTTCCAGTAAAACACGGAAAGCACTGCAAACAATCCAAACAGGTTTCTTAAATCAGTGGAGACAGCTGAGAGAGATGTATAAGTGCAAAAAAGATAAGTTTCCCTGTGAACCAGGAAGTGCAAGAAACTGTGCTCAATCAGAAGTATGCATGGTTCTTAAATATACGCCCCAACAACTGGAAACTATGAACTTAACCATTTTGGGCCGGGGCATTTTTCAATGTTGAGGATGCTGGGCCGGCATCATTTTTTCCGTTTTCAAAATCCTTCAACAATTCATCATTCCATTTAACAGTCGTTTATAGCCACACGGAGTAATCTTCAGGCACTACTCTAAGTTGACAGGTGACTTTCATTGACGCCCG